GATTTTGCTTCACATTCTTTCAGGATAGGAGCAGCCACCACGGCAATGCACCTGGGTCTTACGACTGAGAGGATTAGGGACTTAGGGCGCTGGAAATCTGACGCATACAAACGCTATTTGAGGAAGAATTTGTGACGGTGACTGACCATGGTCTGTTTTTTCAATCTCCTACAGGTGATATGGGGGTGCGCGTCTGGATTATCGGGCACAGTATTGTGCATTGGGCCAGGGTCCGCGCCATCATTACCGGTCTCGGGCCGCACCTGGGCCTACCTGACGTCACCATTTCCTGGGTCTCCCGGAGGGGAATGCGCTGGGCCGAGTTGCTGCCCGCAGTTAAGGCCAGAGCTGCAGTGGAGGGCCCCCCAGACGCTTTATTGATACAATTGGGGGGAAACGACCTAGCCTACAGGAAGGCAGTTGACTTGCAGTGGCACATTTTTAGCGACTTCGAGGAGCTGAAGGCCGCTTACCCGAATGTCACAATTATTTGGGCCTCACTGATGGAGAGGCGGATTTGGAGAGACTGCAGGTGCCCGATAGCTATTAATAGGGCTAGGAAAGCCTTGGATCGGGCGGTGGTGCGTAGAGTGGCAGCCCTGGGTGGGATGGTGATTGGCCACCCGGGCATTCGTTTCAACCTTGAGGCCCTCTACCGGTATGATGGCGTGCATCTTTCGGATGCTGGTAATGATGTCTGGCTTAGGGATATTGCAAAGGGGTTAATGGAGTGGATTCAGGCATGAGAGTATTGGCGGCGAGCGGCTGCTCGGTGGCGGTAGGCATTGGTAAGATGGGGTTAAGAGGATGTGTGTGGGGGGGGAGGAACGCCATCACCTCCCCCCAATGAACGAAGGGTGGTCCGTTAAAGGACTCCGGGGGGCGTGGCCCTGTCCGAAGCCTATGGAGGTGAGGGCCAAAGGCACGCCCCAGAGCGGTGACCCGGGGGAGCTCTTAGCCGACGTGCCTCAGCGGGAGACTCCCCCGATTAGTGTTAACCCTTCCCCGTGTCTCCAGCAAATGGGCTGGAGCCGGATAGTCGATAGGACCAATGCCTAAGCCAATGCCTCTCATTCCTGAATTCAATAAAGTTGTGGCCTAATTCGCCCAATTAACCTTAATTATGGTGTCTCGTGTGTTTATTTATCTTGGTGGGGGGCGGGAACTCGCCACGCAAAGCCACTTCCGGGCCTGCCCCAGGAGGTGGGGTTGCGGGCATCACGCCCTCCCCACGTGAGCGGGGGCTGGGTTCAGCCCCCGCGAGAACAGGGGAATCCCGATCGTCCACGCCTCCCAGCCAGCCAATCGGCTGGCTGGGGGGGCGTGGCTTGCCCTATTTAGGGCCGGAGCGGAGGGGGCTCGCCCTCTCTTCTCCGGCTAGCCCCCACGTTTTCCCACCCTCCCTCCCTTTAGTTGGGGTTCTTAGGTAGGTCTGACTTTGCTATGGACTTCGGTCTGTCGCCGCAAGGGGCATGGTAGGAATTTTTCCCAATTGGTCATTTACAGCCTTTTGGTTTTTCGCCTACCTCGTAGCAACTCGTCACAACTCTTCGGCATTGGCGGTAGGCATTGGTAAGATGGGGTTAAGAGGATGTGGGGGGGGAGGAACGCCATCACCTCCCCCCAATGAACGAAGGGTGGTCCGTTAAAGGACTCCGGGGGGCGTGGCCCTGTCCGAAGCCTATGGAGGTGAGGGCCAAAGGCACGCCCCAGAGCGGTGACCCGGGGGAGCTCTTAGCCGACGTGCCTCAGCGGGAGACTCCCCCGATTAGTGTTAACCCTTCCCCGTGTCTCCAGCAAATGGGCTGGAGCCGGATAGTCGATAGGACCAATGCCTAAGCCAATGCCTCTCATTCCTGAATTCAATAAAGTTGTGGCCTAATTCGCCCAATTAACCTTAATTATGGTGTCTCGTGTGTTTATTTATCTTGGTGGGGGGCGGGAACTCGCCACGCAAACAAGTATTTAGGATTTTAAACAAAGCCCTTTTGATCATGCAAATTGACTAGCTCCTGTTCTGACAAAAAATGCACTTAAGAAAATGAACACATAAATCACTTCTTATCAGACAGATCTCTGGGGAAATAGTGGAGTAAGAACTTAAAAAGACATGACCACACCCACACAGGGGAAAAAAACCCTCTGCCTGTTCCCTTTTGGAAAACAGAGAGCCAAAGCATAGCATTGTACTTGGGACTTGGTTCTAGTTTATTTTAGACCCCAGGAGATATGTGGGAGGAGGCGTGCCACTGCAAATTTAAGGAGGCTCCTCTATGCTGGGATGGGCAAATTCCAAGACCTCATGCCTTGATGAGGGCGAGGAAACAAGACATCTTCTCTTAAGTATTAGAAGCAGATTATCCCAGCAAAAAGGAGGCCATAAAGGAGGGTCAGAGCTGGACAGTAGTTTGTGGCAAGATGTAAAGATGGAACACATCATTTTATTCTGAATTAACATGGAATAACTGGTCCCACAGCTTCTATAATCACAGCCCTAACACCATACATAAATATACTTTCTTTAATCATTTAATCAAATTAAATCTTGTATTTCCATCTTCTGCCTTAGAAGGTAGTCAAACATGTTATCAAGGACATAACTAATGAAGCTTGTTATATGCCATATTTTGGAGTAGATCATTTACTATTCATTTACCTCATAACTGCTTTAAGTGCTCATAATTTAAACATAATTTAAACAGAAGCAGATTATCCCAGCAAAAAGGTGGCCATAAAGGAGGGTCAGAGCTGGACAGTAGTTTGTGGCAAGATGTAAAGATCTATTTTCCTTCCTTGTTATTTCCCAGCCCTGTTAGAAATTGTATAAACATTATCATAACCATCATTTCCACCCTAGCTTTTATTCATTTAGGATGGCTTATATTTGAAATGTTAAAAAAAAGCTGCAGAACAAATAATATATCATAAATTGGTATTTAGATAAAATTGTAGAGGGTTGATTAGCAGGAAGCCTCACAGAGCTACAATTCCAGAACCCTTAACAGAATCCTTCGGGGGAAACAATGTGTTTCAAATGTAAGGTGCTATTGCTTCAACAGCTGAAATCACAGCAAATAAACAAAAATTCTTCAATGTGTTTTGATGCACCAAGAACTGGAAAGAGAAAATTTAGTTCAGTTCTAGGGTGAAATCACAGCCAGCGGTTTCATTTAGAAAAGGTGGGGCCACCAGGGAGCAGCTCCTCCACTGTTTGGATCAACATGTGATCCATGTATTGATGGAGCTTCTACTTGTGGCCAGTTCACAGTTCTGTGGGTACTGGGTTGCAGGTGTTGAAACTGCACACCTGTGCACACTTAAAAGGATGCAGGTGGCGCTGTGGTCTAAACCACAGAGCCTATGGCTTGATGATCAGAAGGTCAGCGGTTCGAATCCCCGTGATGGGGTGAGCTCCCGTTGTTCGGTCCCTGCTCCTGCCCACCTAGCAGTTCTAAAGCATGTCAAAGTGCAAGTAAATAAGTACCGCTCCAGCGGGAAGGTAAACGGCGTTTCTGTGCACTGTTCTGGCTCGGCTTAGTCATGCTGACCATATGACCCGGAAGCTGTACGCCGGCTCCCTCGGCCAGTAAAGCAAGATGAGCGCCACAACCCCAGAGTTGTCCAAGACTGGACCTAATGGTCAGGGGTCCCTTTACCTTTATGCACACTTAAGTAAACCCCATTGAAAACTGCCAAATTTACTTCCAAGTAGACACAGTCAAGTTCCTGTTGCATACGGGTCTATTTTCACTTTACCTGAATACCCAAAGTGCAGGTCCCCTCACTTCTGAGACAAAGTGCATGTCCTGATAGCCACAGCATACTGTTCTACAACCTTACATTTGAAGAACACCAGACAGGGGAACCTTTTACTATAAATCTCCCTTCTCTCTCACCATAATCTGAAATGACACTCCTGAACCCTCAACTAAATAGTACTCTGTTCACTTGGTGATTTAAAATGGGGTGGAGGGGGTGGGAAGAGAGAAAGATCCAAAGCATGAGGTAAACAGGACCACTTTGTGTGAAATATAGAGTCCATTGACCCAGGGAAGTTTAAGTTTATGCTTTCAGCTAGAGGAGGTGCAGCTGCTTCCTTAGCTTGTGTGTATGTATCAGCGACTGATCCACTGTACAGTGGTACCTCGGGTTACATATGCTTCAGGTTACATACGCTTCAGGTTACAGACTCCGCTAACCCAGAAATAGTGCTTCAGGTTAAGAACTTTGCTTCAGGATGAGAACAGAAATCATGCTCCGGCGGCGCAGGCAGCAGCAGGGAGGCCCCATTAGCTAAAGTGGTGCTTCAGGTTAAGAACAGTTTCAGGTTAAGAACGGACCTCCGGAACGAATTAAGTACTTAACCGAGGTACCACTGTAAAACTAATGCAGTTTAGGTTCAGGACTCCTAATCCCAGAGGGCCCTAGAAGCGAATTTAGTGTACATTGCTTAATTTATTAATTTTTACACGACTCAACTTGATTTTTGTGTGTGTGTGTTTATATTTCAACAAAGTTTGTCAGTCAATAGCACAGATGTTGTAAAGGTGTGGTGATCTGTCCGGGGACAACCCCACTGAAGAGGATAACCTCATTGCTGGTTGCTAATATACATATATATATATATGCGCGTAAGTGCATGTATGCGCTCTGGGATAATGAAAGTCGGCTTCCAGTCATGAAGAAATAAAGGCGAAACGTTGAGTCAGAGCGAACAGGTGCGGGGGAAGAGAAACTAATGGAGAACAACCTCCGGCTCCCCTGCAAGGCAGAGTCTCCGGAGGCCGAGCCTGGAGCGCGCCAATTCCCCGGCGCCTCCTTAAGTCCCGGCCCGGCCTCCCTCCGCCTCCCCGCCCCCTGGCCCTGACTCGCCTTCCCCGCCAATTCGCCCAAGTCTTAGAATAAAGTTCGGGGCCGGCAGACTTCTTTCCTCAGCGCAGGAGCGAAGTGGCCCCGCGGAGGTTTTTCTTCTCGCCGCCGCTCGTTCTTCGCCCCGCAACATGGCCTCGGCCGAGCTGGCCCAGAAGCTGCAGCGCCGGCTGCTGCGGGACGGCAGCACTTCGGAGGCTCCTCCCGAGGACGGCGACGAGCCCGCGGGGTCCGAGGCGAGCCTGGCGGAGCCGGACGACGACGACGACCAGAACCCCGTGAACGCCTCCGCGGACCCGGAGCTGAGCGCCAAGCTGAGTCGCAGGCAGGACATCAACGCGGGCGCGGCGCGGCCCCGCTTCGCCCAGATCTTCAATCCTTACACGGAGTTCAAGGAGTTCAGCCGCCGGCAGATCAAGGACATGGAGCGGCTCTTCCGACTGTAAGCACCGCCCCGTCCCCCGTCCCTCCTTTCCTCCTTAGCCCGGGTCCCTGTACGGAGTGGAAGGCGCCTGCTTCGGAGTAGAACCGGGCGGCTGCACGTGCGCTTGGAGTTGCACCGATGCGGCGCGGTTCTCAGCGCCTTTAGTTCAGAGGTGTAAAAAAAAGAGAAAATCCCGTTGAGCTCCACGGAGTAAGCAGCTCCTCTGCTGATGGAGATCGGGATTGCATGCAAGCAATGCATATTTTCTAGGCAGGGGGAAAAAAACCCAACCCGTTTAGTTCACTAGGATTTACTTTCCAGTAAATATGTGTGTGTATGTATGATGGCAGCCTTAATGTTGCGGCCTTTAACTAGCAAAACGTTCTGCAACCGAGCCTTCACTGGAAGCACGGGCTGAATCCGGTCAAGTACTATTACACACGACTGCTGATTTAGTAGCCACGGAAAAAGTGCTTTGAAGCTCTTGTGATCTGGGGGTAGGTGTGAGTGGTTGGCTAGTGAGAAGCAGCAGTTTTGTCCGGCCGCCCCCCCAACTGTTCTTAGTGGTTGTATGAAATGAAAAGAGAACTATGATCTTCTGTATGTTTACTCCAAAGTAAGACCCATTCTGTTCAGCGGAGTTTACTCCCAGGTAACTGTGCATAGGATTGCAGCCTAAAACCAAGAACTGCTTCTGTAGAATGGATGTCAAGCTTGGTTTCTTAACTAGGAGTTCTTTTATTGCAGCTCTTTTCTGGAGAAGCCTGAGTCTGGGTTTTAGCTTATTTTGTGCAAAGCAGTTTGAGAATAGCCTTGCAGAACTACATCTACCCTGGTCATTATGGAAAGTAGAGCTTTTAAGTACCCCCCCCCCAGGTTAGTAGCATTCAGGTGTCTGCACTTCTTTCCTTTGCTACTCTTCCTGCAGTACTGTATTGTCTTATGAATGAGAAAAGGTGAAAAAGGATCTCTATTCTTTTTATTTTTAAAGTTTACAGTCACTAAGTTGTAAAACAGGTTGCCGTTTTCAACTTGCAGAACTGGGATCACTGTGTGTGAACTGCACCTCTTGTATCAGTCATCTCAAGGCTTGTTTTTCTTCTGTGGTCTAAGCTTTGGAGCAGTTTATACTTGGTAGCAATGCTCAAAAGCCACACTGCAACAACAACAAAAGTTTGACCTTCCCCATCTCTGCAAAGCCAACTGCAGTTATATATAGCATGTTCTTTTTAAGTCGTGAAATATGACTATTTGTCACTTGTTCCAGTCTTGCTTAAGCACCCTTTGAAAAGGGACTTTTGGGACTGCTTTTTCTTAGTGAGTCTATGCTAGCATAGCTTCCTTAAGTCAGTGTTGCAATTACGTGTCCCACCGAACTTAGTGGGACTTACTTCCAAACATGCGTAGGATGTGGAAGTGTACTGGGTGACGTGTTCTGAAAGTTGTAGGTTGTAGTTTAATATTGTCTCCTAGAAAAACACTATTCAGGCAGTGTAATTTGCTAGTAGTTTAAACTGTCCGGGGTGGTAGTGGTGTTTTTGTTTATTACTATGCTAAGTATGTTAGCACTATTTTATCTAGTTGATAAAGGTTTGTTTTATCCATAAACCTGTAGTCCTGGAAGAAAATGTGACCCCAACAACTATTTATGATGGTGCTGAAATAGCCATTGTAATGAGGCAGGACAGCGCATTATGAGGTGTATAGCTATAACAACTCCATCAGCATTTAGTGTTGCAACAAAGATCCCTTGACTTTGACTATGGTTTTTCCCTGGTTGGTATTTGTTTTGTTTAAGGAGAGGCTGTTGGTGGAGCTAGGGACCAAGTACAAAGTTGATCACATCCTTGAGATAGAAATCTGAAGACATAAAGCACATCCCAAGCCAAGAGAGTGGAGATTGTGTAACCAGTGAAACTGAAAAAGAGGCACACTTTCTGTTCCACTCCCCTTGAGACAAAGAACTGAAATAGATTGTCCCCATCAGACGGTTGCATAAAACCTCAGAATTAAAGAGAAGCTGCTTGATACTTCATTTCATTATTATTTAATAACAAAAATTGTAGCCCACCCTTCATAATTTGCTGTAATTGCTACTAACCCACCCACCTGAGCCTTACAGCACAGAGCAATTGCAGGGGGTTGGACTAGATGACCCTTGGGGTGCCTTCCAACTCTGCAAGTCCATGATTCTATCCCAGCGCTGAAAGTGCTTCTGAGACCACGCTGCTCTTAAATAACATCCATGTGCCTCTTCTTGTGGTAGGTAGAAAGAAATAACTGCACGTTTACCAGTACACTGAAGGGCAACTGCATTGCTCTTAATGCAAAGCCCAAGGGCAGAATTAACAGAATTCTTTATTACTAGAAGCAAAAAGACAAGCACTGCCTGTGGGCTAGTTATGAAAGACAGAGGCCAATCCTGTGTATTTTACTTCACTTTAAAACAGGTGTAGGGAACTTTTGGGCCGCCAGGTGTAACTAAATTACAACTCCCATCAGCCCCAGCCAGCGTGGCTAATGGCCAGGAATGATGGGAGCTGTAGTTCAGCAACCTCTGGCAGGCCAGTGGTTCCCCACACCTGCTTTAAACCACAGTAGCAGCTGTGCCTCCAGTCTAAGGAAAGCTGCTAGTGCCATAATGGGAGGGATATAAATAAGCTCGGTGTTAACTAAGACCACTCATCAGTCCAAGGCCTGGTTTTCCACTTCCGTTACATGTCAACACTGTGAGCCTTATTAGGATTTTTAAGGACCTCTGTAACAGTAATACTTGTACAGAAGAAGAGATACGTCACCTCCCCATAAGAACATTGCAGCGACAATGAAAATAGTATCTAGCTTTCCTATGCAATACTGAATGCATGTGAGCCCCATGGGCTATAGACCTTGCAGGCTATGCCCCCTTGATTTTGGCCTCCACCTTCCAGGTAACAACTTGCTGGTAACCACTGTCTTCCCATTCTGCCAACATGACTTTCTTGCCTAGAGGTGAGTTCCAGTCCAGCTCCCATGTAGAGTCAGGACATCTCCGACCCTCAGTTCTAAGGCACTATATTACAAGTGGGCTATGTGTTTCTTCCAGTATGCATAAACATGTCTTGCTGCAATTTGAGGCTGTCAAAAGGCCACTATGCCAGCTCCAGGGGGATGACAGAACAGCAGGTGAGCGAGCAAGCAAGCAGTGTGGATGGCCCAGGTGAGCTGTTCAACAGAGATGGGGAAGGCCAAACTGCTCTCTGAAGTGCCTCCCACTCTCTGTTAAACATGGCTGCATTGAAGTTTGGCAAACCACTCTCTGAAGCACCTCCCAAACGCCTTTAAAAGGGGGGGGCTTGGTCAGATGTAAATAAGGGAGGGGTTGGCCAGGTGTGGAGAATGGGGGCCCGGCAAAGCAGAGGCAGCAGCCCCTAGTAAAAACATAGGAACGTATGTGTTTCGTGTCAACAGATCCTTGGAGATTTTGCTCTGTAGAACTAGAGCTGATGGTGTCTGTCACATTTGTTTGTTGATGTGTCTGCTCTAGTTGTGTATAACATTGGGAATGGCATCTTCATTTGCAGGTTCAAAGGGTATGTGTGGTGAAGGTGAGGGAGGCTTAAACCTTTCCCCTTCCTCCAGCTTAAAAGGTAAAGGTACCCCTGCCCATACGGGCCAGTTGTGACCGACTCTGGGGTTGCGTGCTCATCTCGCTTAAGAGGCCGGGAGCCAGCGCTGTCCGGAGACAGCGTGACGAAGCTGCTCTGGCGAGCCAGCACCAAAGCAGCGCACGGAAACGCCGTTACCTTCCCACTATAAAGCGGTACCTATTTATCTACTTGCACTTAGGGGTGCTTTCTAACTGCTAGGTGGGCAGGAGCTGGGACCGAACGACGGGAGCTCACCCCGCCGCGGGGATTCGAACCGCCGACCATACGATCGGCAAGTCCTAGGCACTGAGGTTTTACCCACAGCACCACCCGCGTCCCTTCCTCCAGCTTACCTCCTTATTATATGCCTTTGCCCTAGCAAAGCAACTGAGAATGGGGAGGAAGGCAGGTGAGGGGGGTGGTTTTGACATAAATATGAAGAAACTTCTCCCACACTTCACATGTCAACAGGACAAACACAGCAACTACAAGCTTGGCTTCCCACCTTGGGTCTGTCAGAAAGCTCAGGAGCTGGTTGGGTTGGGTTTTGGAGACCTGGAGGACTGTAGCATGTGGGGAGGAGGCTTCTTTGAAGCACACAGGGGAGATCTGCCAGTGCAGACAACTGCTGATGCAACTTTCTTTGTTCAGCCCTAATTAGGTATTGATAAGCTTTGTTCACAGTCGCCTTTACCTTCGAATAAAACCATTTTTCAAATTGTAGAAGGCACAGCGGCTAATTAAACAAAATCATCTTGGGGTGGGGAAACGGCGGATAATTCCAGGAGGGAAAAGAATAGTTATGAGTGTCTTCCAGATCAAATAACACCTAGGAAAACAAAGCAATTATTATTCAGCGTGGGGATTCTACGGAAAAGGGTTTTCCTCAGTTTTGCCAGAAAACCTGACAAATGCACAGAGCGGAATCTTAGCTTTAGAAAACTTGGCTGGCTTCAGAGTCCAGCATCCACTTGTTTTTTGTTTAATGACGTCCATGTTATCTTGTTTTTATATTCTGCTGGAAGCTGCCCAGAGTGGCTGGGAAAGCCTAGCCAGATGGGCAGGGTATAAATATAATAATAATAATTAATATTAATACAGTAGTAATAATAATAATAATAATAATAATAATAATAATTATACCAACTTGTATTTAAACACTTAATAACAGTTTTACAGAACCTCCTTGGTGGTCTACTGAAGCCAGTGACCAACTCTTTATGCTTTAGTTTAGGAAAAGCGATTGACAGCAGAAGTAACAAACAAAATAGTTTAGTCTCAGGTGGTCGTATCTGGAAATGCTGTTCCCCACTCCCCAGACTTGTCTTCAACAATTAGTGAATAAATGTGGGATACTTTGCCCTGAACATCTTGGTTAATAGCATTCAA